TTACAAAATGATTTACGCATGTGAAAACATGGACATAACATTATACATGAAATGAAGACTGTGCTAACTGAAGAGGGTTTAAGCGCTAGCCCTCAAATCCAGGAACGCACGACTGCTTTAGCCCTGCTTTATCAACGATCTCTCTAACACATTTAAAGTTAATCAGGTGTTTATACACTTTACTAGATCAGGGTGCTCAGATTTCCTTTTCATTACTGAGTTTAAACATGGCTCATGATGTTGCCCAGGGGACAGCAGTCTGGAACACTCACCTTTTGACCGCAGCAATAAAGTGTGAAATCTTCCATATTTACTCACAAAAACCTCCCAGTGAAAATTTTATCAGGACTACTGATTGCTCTTCAATCTGGTTTTCAAAATAACAAATTAAGAAATTAATTTTACAATTAAACATTACAATAGCAAGGACATTATTACAATCCAATGCAATCATTTGGTACAGGTGGAGCCTTGGCTCCACACCAGAACCAGTAACAAAACTTCCAACAGTGAAGTTGCATTATGTTGCATTAGCTGGGCTACTTCCTAAGAATGCAAGGTGGCCTACGGTAGTAGTGACCTCTTACTCATCCTATGCTCTTCTATGACTTCTTCTGATCCACTTTACCACTTGTAGACTTTCCACCCTGAATCATCTGTGTGAAGATCCACTGCCAATTACTGGAAAGTCACGCTACTTTACAGAGCACCTACACAATAATTTTCATTCATAAGAGATGTAATCCTTCACAGTGAGGTTGAAAGTGGCACTCTTATTTATGACTGACGGAGAGGAGGAAATGTTGCAAATCCTAGAAGGATGCAGCAGCCAGGATTTTGAAGTGGTCTATGAATTCTCACAACCAGCAGTTCTGCAAAAAGCAAGGGGGATGAAAATAAGCTGAGGTTGAGTCTCATATTATTTTAGCAGCGTAGCCATCAAGATGCAGTAACTTGGATTGTTCCTAGTGAGTGATTCTAGATTCTGCAACTTGATCTACTGCGAAATTTCATGAGCAGGGAAATCCAAGAAAGAACTTAATAAAAGACTACAAAATGCTGCGTAAGTGTTAAGATTTTATCTTTCTCACATCTGAGAAAGAATGGTGTAAATTAATTATTTGCCACAATGGCATGAAATTAGAGCTTTCTGTAGCATACAATCTTACATTATGCTACAAGGCCACATCATTTTATTGTGTGGTTGATATCCTGTTGAAAAAATCCAAACAATATTTCTCTCTTTTGCTCAGCAAAACCATTACGTTGATTGAATAGGAGCCAGTATGTACACTCATGAGCTATCTTGCCTTAACCTTCTTTGCAATTTAGTTAGGACAGAACTGCATTTACAGTGCTATAGATAAGCTACAGGAAGGGCCTCATCTTAAAGCTACCATTTTAGGGGTTGTAAGTCCACTTAAAGCTCACTGTCTCCAAATGAAACATTGTTCTGATTCTGAAGACAAACCTTTCCACAGAAAATTTGGTAGAGGAAATGCTGTAAGCATTAACATTATCTTTGCTCAGGAGAAAAAAAAACGAATAATGGCTTTAGATATTTATTAGTATTTTCTAAAACATCTGAACCAGAATTCCAGTAGAGAAATCAGTTTGATTATTCTGGCTGAGACATCTGAAAGAAAACTACTAGACTTCAATATTTACTGCTAAATTTGCATTCTTGAATCAAATACACATTTAAGATTTATTTAGCCCTTCACCCTGGCTGCAGAGATGCACTCCTGAAGGACAACTCTATTTGGGTTAGCAAGGAACTCCTGTTAAACTGTCATTTGTCACTGTTCAGGCCAATAGAAATTTTGTTAATGATGTGTTGCAGCAGAACTGAGCCATAGATTCTTTCATAGTATGTTAATATAAGTGCTGTCAACACTTATCTTCATGTGATAGGCCATTTTATGTCACTACAAGCAAATAAATGCTAAAACAAATACGAAGTCGTAAATATACACTCAGATAATTACATTAACACACCTTAATGGTGGCCACATGCTATTTCAGAACTATTAGAGAAAAAACTGACATGATAGTATATAGATCTTCAACTAAATCAGCATCCCAAGAAACCTCTGTAAACTAATGCAAAATTCATTGTTTTACATTACAGTAAAATGCTCTCCCTCCATCTAAATATTAGTGAGCTTCTGGTAGCTTACACAATTGTCAAGCTTCTGAATCTCGTAAGACATCTCCCCATGGCAAGGTCAGCTGCGATGATTAACAACTAATCCATTAATCCACTAGTTTCATACCAATCCATTGTAGACCTCCTTACAGAAAAAGCCGGGCACAGAGTTCTACATCCTGAAGATAATGTGCAGACTTCTTCTGTGAAGCCCATGTTCTCCTACTTAACAGAAACACAGTTTGACACTCTGCATACGTTATGGAGTCCAGACTTCCAAGTGTGTATAGTAAATAACAAATGAACACACAGAAGAAAATATTGAATGAACTATTAAAATTGGGTTTTGCCTGTAACAAGAACAACCTACAGTGAATCAAAAGTTTTACATACTTTAGAATATGGAAATAACCTACAAACAGCATTAAAAGAACATTCTAGTAAGTCATGGCAGTGGCGTGCTAGGAGATTTTATTCTCTTTCATGAGAGCTGTGCTAGACATCTATTTTTTTTACGTATTAGAATAAACAGGAAAATAAACCGTTAAATAAATACAGCATTAAAAATTAAGACGTTCATTAACTAATCCAATGATAACCTATGTTGTATGTTACGTATTTCTAAATGTTTGGCACTTGATTTACACACTGTTACAGAAGTAACAAGAGCAGACCCATCACGGACACTGTGGACCTAGATATCTTAGTGACAGAAGAAGTGAAATGCATCAGATCAGCTTGTGCACCTACCATATAGGATAAACTGATGAATACACGTGTGTACTCATGCTAGCTTTTGTCTATTTTGTCAGCTTAACTGATGCACTTTTAAGCATTAAATTGGGCTTCCACTTTTATTTAAATCTGTAGTTCACAGTAGTCCCAATTTTAGTTATTTTTAGCCACTACTATAATAAAATTACAGAACTGACTTAAAGAAGATTCATACATTGCTCTTTAAAGCATTTTTTTCTTTCTTCTCATTCCGATGAATAGTTTTATGTTCATGACTTTACAGTGTAAAATGAAAAATTAAACTCTATTGCATTTCTTTGCATTGCTTTAACAATAGGTGAATGTGAGGTACTTTGTGAAAGTCTAAATATGTGAGACTTCACACTAATTTATAACATAAATTACTGATAAACACAAACCAAATAATCTATTAACTACCGTAAGCTGTTGCAGTCTTGCCAGCATTTGGCATCATCTAGGAAGAACAGTCACAGGCATATTGTATAAACAGATTCACCCAAAGTAAGGGTACAGGTAATATTTTAAGTATAAACTTGACACAAGGTAGTTTAGTATTTTTCACTGTTCTGAAGAAATTTAAATTGATTATTAAGATTAGAAGCAGAAATAATATATTTGTATACTTACACGTCAAACATGCCTTAGTGGGTTTTTTTTACCATTTAAATTTTAAAATACATAATATACTTTTTAGTATTGTGTAATTTCTAAAGGATAATCATATATTTCTTAAAGTGATACAACTATGACAAAAGGGGAAAAAAAAAGTCTTCTTTCTTTCTGCTTTCTCCTTTACACCATTACTCACAGAATTGTTCAGATTGGAAGGGACCTCTGGAAATCGTCTAGTCCAACTCCCTTGGCCAAAAAAGGGCCAACTATAGCAGGTTGCCCAGGGCTGTGTCCAGTCAGATTTTGACTGTTGCCAAGGATGGAGACTCCACATCAACTCTGGGCAACCCGTTCCAGCGTTTGATCACTCATTTTCAAAATGTCTGTCTTATGTGTAAATGGAATTTCCTGTATTTTAATTTGTGCCCATTGTCTCTTCTCCTGTCACTGGGCACTGCTGAGCAGGGTCTGCTCTGTCTTGTTCACCTCTCCACCCATCAGGTATTTACAGACATTAGTAAGATCTCCCCTGAGCTTTCTCTTCTCCGCACTGAACAGTCCCAGCTCTCTCAGCTTCTCTTTGTCTGTCAGATGCTCCAATCCCCTAATCATCTTTGTGGTCCTCCACTGAGCTTGCTCCAGTATGTCCATACCATTCTTTTACTGGGGTGCCCAGGACTGGGCATAGCACTCCAGAGGTGGTCTCAACCAGTGCTCAGTACAGGGGAGGGATCGCTTCCCTCAACTTGCTGGCCAATGCTCTTTCTAATGCAGCCCAGAAGGCTGCTGGCCACCTCTTCCACATTCATCACCTTTCTAGATGACTGTGAGGCTGACTGGCCTGTAGTTCTTTGGATCCACTTTCTTACTCTTGAAGATAGAACTGACATTTGCTTTCTTCTAGTCCTCAGCAACCTCCCTTGATCGCCACAACCTCTCAAAGATAATTGAGAGTGCTCTTACAATGACATCTGTCAGCAACCTCAGCATTTACAAGCACATCCTATCAGATCCCACAGACTCATATGTGTCCAGTCTGTCCTACTGGACTCTGCGACTTGTGACTGCTGAGGTCAATCAGCACATTGCCAGAAAAAAAAAAAAAGACAGCATTGAGTTACCTTGGCCTTTTCTGTGTCTGTTGTCACCAGGCCCCTGCCCCATGTGGCAGTGAGCCCATATTTGTCCTAATCTCCCTTTTGCTGATGATATATCTACAGAAGCCTCTCTTGTTGCCCTTCGTATCCCTTGCTAGTTTCAACTCCAGACAGGTTTTGTCTTTCCTAATCCCATCCCTACACATTTTGACAGCGTTTCTATATTCCACCTGGGTCACCTGTTAGTGCTTCCCCCTCTTGTACACTTCCTTTTTGTATTTAATTTTAGTCAGGGGTTCCTTGTTCACCTATGCAGGCTTCCTGCCACTCCTGCTTGACTTTCTGCTCATTGGGATGTACCATCCTTGAGCTTGGAGGAAGCAATCCTAGAAAACCACCTGCTCTCCTGGACCCCTCTTCTCTCCATGACCATATTCCATAGGATTTTTCCAAACAAGTTCCTGAACAGGACAAAATCTGCTCTCCTGCAGTTCAGGGTTGCGATCCTCATATTTGTTCCCTCTTCTCAGGACACGGAACAATACATGGCCATTGCTGGCAAAGCTGCTCCCAACCTTCACATCCTTGACCAGTTTTCCCTTGTTTGTACATATCAGGAACAGCAAAGAGCCTCCCCTTTTCAGCACCTCAATCAGCTGTGTCCAGAAGTTCAGGAAGTTACCAATGCTCACCAGAAACTCCCTTGACTGCTTGAGCCCCGCTGTGTTGCCCTTCCAGCAGATTTCAGGGTGGTTCAAGTCTTCCTATGAGACTAGGGCCTGCAAGCAAAAGGTTTCTTCTAACTGCCTGAAGAATGTCACACACTTCTTCCTGATCAGGTTGTCTGTAGCAGATGCCCACCACAACACTGCCCATCCTTGTCTTCCACTAATCTTAACTCATTAGGTCTCAGCTGGCTAATCATCGGTCCTCAAGGCAAAACTTCATGCATTCCTCCTGCTCTCTCCCCTCCTCGCCGTCCCAGTCTGCGCTTCCTAAAGAGCCTGTATTCATCCATAGCAGCGATGTAAGCTATCCCACTACATCTCTGTGATCCCAATGACATCACAGCCCTGCAAATGCACACAGACTTTGAAGTCCTTCCGCATTAAGCCAAGAATTGTTTTGAAGTCTGTCATAATTAGCATCTTTAAAATAACCCAGTAATACTGTTGCCCAAAAGAATAACCACATACACAAAAGAACTCCTTCAACAACAAAAGAGGAGGAAAGGAAGAAACAATCCTGTGCGTTTTATTGTTATTGAGGTACAGTCCATTAAAATTGTCTAAACATGACTTTTTTTTTTTTCTTTTTTTACTGAAATCCAACATATAAAAAATAGAATAAAAAGCCGATTGGTCAGTTAGCTATAAATGCAAAACCCGTTCACAAAAAGAAAAAGAGCAGACTGTTTTGGGCACATAACTTTATATTTATGGCCCAGTTCACTCAAGATCATAAGAATAGTTTTGTTTTCTGTCCTATAACTGCTTTCTGCACAAGGATCCAACACAAAGGTTGTTCTTGGGCTTATAAATTACCACAGGTGAAGACGTATGTGACTGACAAGATACAGGTCTCTTACTCTTCTTCATGGTAAAAACACTATCTTCCTTTGGAGGAGGCACATGTACAGGTTTCCAAGGAATGGGGTTACAATACGCTGGAGCTGGATATGAATTTCCATCAGCACCACCTAAAAAGTTTAGAAAATACAAATAAATAAAAAGGAATATTTACACTACCAGCTTTACAATGCAAGCAGTTAAAATAATCATCTGAATTAAGAAAGACACAACAGCGTCTTCAGCAGAAGACAGCATAGGCATATCACATAACTGAAATGTTTCAAAGCAATATATCTTCCACTTTTTTTTTTTTCCAACAATAACTGGTATATTCTTCATCTCTCTTTAAAAAAATAAGCAGGCCAAATACTGTGTAACATTCAGAATGCTCCATCCTTTGTATAATTAAAAGCTGTAAATGTCTACAAATTAGCTACTTAGCATTATTTCAAAGCATTGAAAGAAAGCATTATTATTCTAAAGATAACCTCCTGTCACTACATATGAAAGCTCACATATTTTTCCATCTTTGCTTAACTATTATTTTTCATTTTACTGAGGAGAAAAATACACTAATTATCTACAATCTACTAATAAATTAATAATCTGCAATTAATAACCTGAGGCCTATAAAGCAGTATCAGAAAACCTAAAATGCAAGAGAAGGAACATGTTGCCCTATCAGTCATTTGTCTGTAGTAAAATTTCAGTGCATACATCATGTGGTTGGGTAAAACAGAGTCTGTAATATATTCTATTGCATGAACACAACTGAGTAGAGAAATATTTTTCAAGAGTCACTTAAACCAGTGATTGCAGCTGTCGGGAAGTAATGAAGGTCCAAAACAAAACATGAAGGCAAAGTGTATCACCATCTATAAACAGATGTAAGCAAAAGAGCAAAGGTTGTTCACCTGCTTTAGACATTTTCGTAAACATTCAGAGCCTGGAATTTAGGTCCTAAATATGTTCTGTTGCAAATTGAAATAATAATAATGATTTTAAATCTATGAAAAAACAAAGACAAAAGTATATATATATTTTTTAAGAAAATTTAATTAAGCACTCAAATGTAAAACGCAATACTACTTCTTACTGCTCTTCTGCTTTTGTATCATGTGGGATGACAAAAACCACATGAACAAAGTGAGACTCGCAAAACACCACACTATCAAAAGCATTGTCTTTAACACTTGCCTGTAAAATGAAAAAGGAACAGGATTACAGAAGTGAAGAGTATGCGATGCAGGTGCAAAGCTAAATGGAAAGGAAACCTTAGCTCAGAACACAGGTTGATTCCCATATCTTCTTTTCCATACTGGACTTCTGTCAGCCTTTTATTAATCCTTGTGTCTCAAAACCACACCTCTTTCTAAGGGGGATTCAGGTGTGATAATGTGGCATACACTGTCTGTAACACGATATAACTGATTTGCTTCACAGGAACCAGTAATTTGCTCTAGTGATTCCTATATGTTTGATAAGGAAAATGGGATCAAAATCAGTTATAATTTGGTATGCCACATTATTCCCTCAAATAATGTAATTTTCCTCCCAGATAACATGAAGGGCTATGAAAAATGCACAAAGGATCTTAGAGTAAAAGCTTCTCTGACTTATGCCATATGAGATATTCATTCCTATGTGCCAAAATTAGATACTGGATGAAAATCTTAAACAAGCTTCAGTTTACATTAAAAGATTAGAGGGGAGGAACCACAAACCTAAGTCACTACATATATGTAGTAGAAGTACAAACCTGCAGACTTCCCATGTGGGAAGCCATAACCATATAAAAGAGGGCGTGGTTTATTTCTAGCATTCTGTAGCCATTCCTTAAAGATTTTCTCTGATCTTGCTTTTTTCTCCTGTAGCTCAGCTTCCCTTTCTTTTTCTTTTTCCTAAAAATAAAAAAATCTAAGATACTTATAGACAAAATCCTGTACAATACACACAAAACGGTAAGTAAATCTTTTGCAGATTCCCAGACTGCTGAATATATTTCAAATATGTTTTCAAATACAAATACATTTTCCTGACAACAGAAAAGTTACATGTTTTTTTCTTTAAGTTGGAGGAGGAAGGGCGGGGAACCGACCTCCACATTAATTCAGTGTTCCTCTGAGAACAAGCTCTCAGAAATCTTTTGGAAGACTGCATGTAGAAGATATTCTGAACATAATGGGCAGATGACCAGGACCTACTGTTCTGCAGTTAGCTTGAAGAGGCTACTGCATCTAGGACAGCCATTACTCTTCTCCTTTACTTATATTTGTACAGCCCTACATCAGCCATGATCGGGCTGCCTCCAAGCCTGGAGCAGGCTTGGGGAATCATTGAGAAGTAATAGTAAAACCAGTATGTTTGGGCATGGCATTTGGATTTAAACTAAGTTTAACTGACATTGGGAACATGGCTTCTAAGAACCTATGTAATGAAGACATGACTAAAAGAATGCATGTGCTTTAAATCTGTCTGATGACTTCCATTTTCTTGGGTTTCAAGGTCCCTGTGCTGTTTATTTTCAATGCTCAGCAGAGACATAGAATCAGTTTGTTAAGCAGGAAATGAACATCACCAGTACAGAATATTTAAGTGTGTTTCAGTTATATGGGAAATTTTGAAAGACTGCAAAATTAAGGTCATTAAGGCCTGAAAATTGATCCATCTTACAGTATTTTGAATTTAATCCGAAGAAAATCTTATATGTACTTGTCAAATACTTACAAATGTGTTCTGCACTTTAAGAACAACTGCTGTAATACATGGGAATATAGCAACATAGATAAATTCCTGTTACCACAATCCTCCCCCATGCTTAGCTACAACTGTAGTGTAGTACTCGTATAATATTAGATATTCTACTGAAAAATTATACTGTAATGTTAATTAAATTAAAATACAACCAAACTACTTCACAGATAAGATATCTCGTCACACGTTTCATAGTTTTCAGGCATAATCATTACCAATATGGGATTCCTTCAGAGGAGTTCTAGATGATTCCTGCAAGTGTAGCCTTGTTAGAGCATTTGTTCTAGTGAACTAGAGGACCTCGAAGCCCTTACTTTAGACATTTATGAGTAAAAGGTCTTCTGAAGCTCACTATAAAAATACACAGGTGAGTAATTTATATGAAATAACAAAATTAGAACTCCTAGCATCAGATTGGTACCTGTATGAAGAAAAACGCTTCTAATTGGACCTATGTGCAAGTATAATGATAATATAAAGATAATAGTGGTGCTGGGAGAAAAATGCCCAGAATGCTGCCTATTTTCTGTCTGGGTCACCCTGCAAAGGACTGAGTAATGAAGGTACACTATGTGCTTTGTATTTCTCTTTTCCTTATCATATCACAATTGCAGTGGGTTTGCAAAGACCATTAACGAAAATGTGTTAATATGCATCTTTGCTCACCAAACCTCAATGTCTTCAATGCACTAACATCACAACTTTTGAAAGTTTTTTTTCATGTAAAATGCTGCCATTTGATAAATTCTAATCAAGTCAATCAATCAATGTATTTAATGCAAGTTACAGATTAGGTAACCCCATCCAAATAAACAATTAGTTGATTAATACCTTCTCTTTCTTCTTCTTTTCTGCCTCTTCAGCTCTCTTCTTCTTTAACCATTCCTTATACTTTACTTCGGCCTTTTCTTGTAACTGCATTTTTTCTAGTTCCTTTGTGGCCTTTTCTGCCATTTCTTTGCTCAGCTTTCGTTTTTTTTTCTTTCCCTTCTTTCCTAAATGAAACAGATCAAAGAAACAGAATAGAAACTTCTCAGCATATTTCAATCAGCAATTTCATTACATAGTTACAAATAAAATTATCATAATCCTGAAAAAAAAAATAATCATATTGCAAGCTCTTTGAAGACAGAACCTATTCATGGCTAGGTTCCAGATAAAATTATACAGGTAGCAATTTCACTTTACACTCAGTTACCACATTTTGCCTACCCTAGAACGTGTTTTCTCATTTTCTCTTTCATCATTTGAAGAGAAGTGTGCAGATTGATCCATAGAAGTAGTCCATATGCAAATAAACTAAAGAATGTAAAAAACGTAGTCGTGGCAGTCTGGTGAAGTTCCCACTGAGGTCCCTTCCAACCCTAACCATTCCATGATGCTATGATTCTCTAAACAAACAAGCATATATGGCCTTTTCTTCATCTGGAGAGGGAGGCAGTTTCATTTGCAGACTAACAGTAGCTCTCACTTCCCTTCCCTGTAACCTTTATGAAATGTCTGGGATTCTACTGATTCAGTACTACTTCTGCTTAGCTTGCTTAGCTCTGAAGAACCTGCATGCACACACAGAGGCAAAAACCTTTACCAGACAATCTGTGCACATGACTTGGAGGAGAAGCAGAAGACTTGAGATGAAAAATTTTCCACTTCATAGAAAAGAACTGCTGAATAAAAATGTCACCTTTCTTTTAGGAAATCTTTTTCTTGTATGCTCTCCTGCATACTCCTTTTAAACAAAGATGTGTACTTTAACAGGAACTTATGCTGACTCAGAATTATTACAGTTGGCAGTATGGATGTCAACTGCCTGGAACTACAAATGCAAAGTATAATAAATAAATGGAGAAGAGGAAAAACACATTTACAAGAAGAGCAGGAATATACTTCCCTTTCCATTTTACCTCTTACAAGCACAAAAAGATAGAAAGTTAGAGTTCTGCTCTGCTCCCCCCATGGACCCATCCCTCACCTTTTTTCCAGATTTATTTCACTTCTGGAAAATCCAATTATGCATGATGAAGCAGAAGCCATAGTACTGGAGCTGAGGACCAGCACAATTCTCTTAGTCTGGTCTAAACAGGATATCTGCTGGTTCAATCCTTGTCCTCCATACCAAAACTTACCAATAATCCAATAAAGTAGCACCATACAGAATAAAAACTTTAGCTTATATTGCCCTGCAAAACACTAACTCGTTTCTGCCATTTATTGGATTAGATGATGAAGTGCAAAAACAAGGTCAATAAAGAGAAAATATACTGCTTTCAGGTTAAAACATTTGATAATTTTTTGTAAGACATAGTACTGGATAATAAATGCTTCCATGTTTGAATCCTTATCCACATGGCATGAAACTGTCTCAATAAAGAAATTATCCTAAGCATAATCTTAGCTTACTCTTGGCATTCACTTTTTCTGAGCATGTCATAATGTTAAACTGCAGACTTCTTATCGTAAGAAACTAGTCTGCAGAACTGCTTGAGTTAGTGTGCCCCATTCTGTGTTTGCCAACACTAGAATTATTACTACAATTTTAACATCAGCAGCTGAATTATGCATTAGCTGTGGGGTTTTTTTTACAGTTTTTTTTTTACAAGCTATGCCTTAATAACTGTATTTACTGTAACCTTCGAGGTGGATGTTTCTTCACTTAAACCACGATGATACTTTCAGTATCACTGTTTTGGTATACTCTTGTCAAACGTTCTTATCTGATGACAAAGAATTATTTATGTACACACTGCACACAATTTAATAAAACAATTAGCTATTAACTATATTTTCTCCTTGTTTGGTTGTTGCTTTTTTTCATTTCACTTCTAACGCATTTTAACAAACATCAGCTGAATCTGTTCTGCAGTGTAGGAAAAATGGTCAGATATAAAAATATTCCAATTTCAAAGCATATTCTGGAATGTGAAACTCCATAGAACTAGAAAATAATGGAAGTCTTATTAATATGATTTCACAACACTGCTTGTAAGACCTATACAGGTGATAAAACTATTATGCACAACTAAGGTCAATCAAAGTAAGAATTTCATTCTGGGAAAAAAAAAAAGTTGAGATTCTGAAATGTTTTTGTACTAGAGAAGGATAGAAACAAGATCTTTCCTAACATGAAACAAACCCTTACATGCTTAAATACATTAAAAGGAAAAATAATCTATTTTTGGCAAGCTATGCAGACCCTAAGAATCATCCTGTGTGAGAAACAACCAATTGTCTAAGCTTTTTCTCCTTCTTCTAAAATTCATCTTAATCTCTTTTATTCAGGGCTCTTCCTCTGTTCCTTCATTACCAAATATTCCCCAGATGCATCTCTCAACAACTCCTGTTTCAAGACAACAGCAGTCGGGGACATATAAAAAGCCTTAATGCAGATGAGAGATATATGCTAAAACAGCAAGTTAAAACCATTGGCAAAGGTGGCTTACAAAGATCTCAGTTCTTTTGTTGTTTGCTGGCTTATCTCTATTGTACGTGAAAGTAAGTTACAAAACTAAAGATCTTTCAAAACTGTAGTCTTTAGCTAAGGGTCTTATCATACAAAAAGCATGAAAATAAATATAGAAGTGAAAAAATGGGCCCATTCCATACCTAGGGGAAATGTTCAATAATGGACAATAATTATAAGCAGAAAACAGACTAAAAACCTTTCAAAAGACTATAATTAAAAGGCAGGGAGGCTTCTTAAATTATGTATCTTTAAACACAATACTTCAGATGAGCTTAGCTACCATGTAGGCTGACTCAAAGTTAAATTAAGTCCTATATAAGCAATGATATGCCATGCACACTACCATGAAAGCCACAACTATTGCTAAGTTTTACTTCCAGTGAGCCATCCTTAAGACAGGGAGACTCCCTGCAGAACTGCAGATTTCGCAGCTGCCTAGAAATTATTCTGCAGACAAATCAGAAATGTTTCTTCTTTCTCTCAATCACAGAACAGCTTTTCATTCATAAAGTTAGCGTACACCACATTCCCAGCTGCTTTAATAAGCTGTTTCATGTCAAATTCCTTTCACTCTGGCCTTCCCAGCTTCCCTCCCCTTCCTCATTATTTTCCCTTATACAAGTCTATCAAAAATTCTAGGAACGTGCACATTAATGCACACATTCCTCAAATCCTCCTTTCGCTCTCCTTCCTTGTATATTGATTTACATTGAGGGTGATAAGGCACTGGAACACGTTGCCCAGAGAAGTTGTGGCTGCCCCATCCCTGGAAGTGTTCAAGGCCAGGTTGGATGAGGCTTTGAGCAACCTGGTATAGTAGAAGGTGTCCCTGCCCATGGCAAGGGAGTTGGAACTAGCTGATCTTTGAGGTCCCTTCCAACCCAAACCATTCTATGAATTTATGATTCTATATATGGAGGTAGGGAAACTGTATAATTTGTTTATTTTTGGTGGTGTCAGACTGGGTTTTAAAAATTCTCTTTGAACTTCTGCTCAAAACAGACATGGTCTATTCACTAAACCACTAGTAAAACTACATACACTGTAAAATATGATTACAGGTATTACATAAATTAAAGTATTGATTGTAAAACATCCCATTACTCATTGCAAGAAAGGCTTGTTCTCCCATCACCCCACCCAAGCACATGACTAAGGAGAAAGGATACAAATCTGCCCTGCAGGTTCACCGCTCTGGGCTGTGATCCTATCAAGACTTGGAATCTAATGAATCCTGGGCTATGTGAATACTTGGAAATCCCCCACCCAAAACAAATCCAGCTGTCCCACAAAGCAGTGATGGTGACTCTGTAGGCAGCATGTGTCTCACTGAGTCAGTACCAAACCAATGTCTCAGCAACAGAACTAACTTTTCAAGAAAAATCAGACGTAGGTATACGCAGAGAATTGTCAAAGGAATCTAAAATTTGAAGAAGCATTCTACTTTCTTCCTGACAGAAGGTAGAAATGTTAAACAATTTTCCAGGCAGAAAACAGCCCAATTGCCATTGAAACAGAGACACTATATCTAAATGGAAGAAAATTAATAAAATAGATATTTCTGTATTTTCACATCAATGATTAAATGAGAAGCTGGAAAGGGTCAAGTGCAGAGCTGCTTTCTGTTCTGTATTTTCTATGTAGAGTGTCACTGAACAGAAGTATTTCCAGAAATTAATGTTGTTGTTTATATTTTCAAGATACTCTCACAGCAATCCTTTCCGATTTTCTGGTCTGCAGAATTTGACATTTTTCTTTTCATACATAACTGATGGTTCTATTTCACAGCTGTTTGCTCTGATATTTTAGCTACCATATTCTAGCATCGTTTTATGCTAACTGATGGCAAAATATAGGAGAAGTCCACACTGCCAACCTCAGAACATACACCCCAATTTCCTCATTTATCCTCATAATATATATCCTGAACATCAACCACATTTAGTAGCCTCAGAAATCTCAGTTTTCATGAGAAACTAGTTAATTCTAACCATGAGAAATTAGTTAATTCTACTTACAGAAATCTAAAGGTAAGTCTGGATACAATTAAGATTCAAGTACAACCTAAAATTATAACCATGGCATTGGCTATGCATGACCTCACAGAAAGGTCTTGTTTAAAGACACATCAACACTGTGCTGAAACAAACAAACAAACAAAAAAAAGCCACCTGTTTTGTAAATTACTCCAGGTCTAGAAGCTGAAAACCCACAACAAGCAGGAAAAAAAAACTCTTAAGAAATTAAGCCCCGAGTCACAAAAAAAAAGTTTAGATATGTAAAGACAGACTTGGGCATGCAAACAGAGAATTTCAATCCTTAAACACAGTTAGTTCTCAAGATTGGAAAGTATTTATGCTAGATACTTGAGCTTCCCTCACAAATACATTTCTTGAAAGAGTTCAGTCTTGAAAAAGGTGAACATTTCAGCATCTCTTTCAAGTCTAAACTGTCAGCAAAAATCACAGCACATCAGGCTCTACATAAAATGTAGCAGCAACCACTGCTTTGACTCAGAACAATAGATC